TCATCTGTCTCTCCTTTTAACAATAACAACAACAAAAGTTTTTCTGCTGAGACTGTAGGGTTTTGAAGATACGGAATCTTTTCATCTGCACGTAGGGATAATATGACTTCCTCTCTTCCTGTTTGGATGTCTTTTTATTTTCATCTTTTTCTCGATTGGCCAGGACTTCCAGTTCTATGTTGAATAGGAGTTTTGAGTGAAGGGTTCCTTGTCTTGTGCCAGTTTTCAAGGAGGTATGCTTCTAGCTTGTATCCATTCAGTATGTTGGTTGTAACTTTGTCATGGATGACTCACTGTTTTGAAGTATGCACCTTCAATGCCTAGTTTTTAATGGGTTTAAACATGAAAGATGTTACATTTTTTGAAAGCTTTTGTAGCATCTATTGAGATAGTCTTGCAGCTTTTGTCTTTTGTTCTGTTTATGTGATGAATAACATTTATTAATTGCATGTTGAAACAACCTTGCATCACAGAGACATAAACTACTTGATCACACTGGGTTAGCTTTTTGGGGTTCTCCTGTATTCGATTTGCCAGTATTTTTTTGAGAATATTGTCTTCAGTGTTTATCATGGATACTGGCCTGAAGCTTTTTATGTTTGTGTTTTATCTCTGCCAGGTTTTGATATCAGAATGATGCTATTCTTATGTAATGAGTTGAAAAAGAGTACCTTTTACTCAGTATTTTGAAATAATTTTGGTAGAAGTGGTACCAGCTCTTTTTTTTTTTTTTTTTTTTTTTTGAGACGGAGTTTCGCTGTTGTTACCCAGGCTGGAGTGCAATGGCATGATCTCGGCTTACCACAACCTCCGCCTCCTGGGTTCAGGCAATTCTCCCATCTCAGCCTCCTGAGTAGCTGGGATTACAGGCACGCGCCACCACGCCCAGCTAATTTTTTGTATTTTTAGCAGAGACGGGGTTTCACAATGTTGACCAGGATGGTCTCCATCTCTTGACCTCGTGATCCACCCGCCTCGGCCTCCCAAAGTGCTGGGATTACAGGCTTGAGCCACCGTGCCCGGCCGGTACCAGCTCTTTGTACATCAGGTAGAATTCAGCTGTAAATCTGTCTAATCCTGTGGTTTTTTTGGTTGCTGGGCTATTTATTACTAATTGAATTCTGGAGCTTGTTATTGGCCTATTCCGGGATTCTCTTTTGTTGCTGTTGTTGTCTTTGGAGGATGTATCTTTGCTTCGGGGTTACAATCCTCATGTTTGGCCCAAGTGAACTCTCTACTTATATTCATGTTGCCTCAGATTTTTCCTTTTAGGTAGACATAGTACTTAGAGTGTGCTAGGGCAGCCTCTAAGAGGAGATTTCTCTTTTGATTGTACTCTGTTTGCTGTTAACACCCAAGTATGCAAACCGGGTTGATCCCACCTAGAATCTGCCTGGGATTCACAAGACAGGACTAGACTTAGGATTGAGAATATACAGAAAACTAACAAGAGGCATTGTCTGCATTGTGAGATGTCAACCAACACAGGAATCTAAAATTCCCCTTCGAGAGTGTGGCTTTTTGAGCTTTTCACATCTTGTTCAGTGACCTGCTACAGTTATGTGAAAGTCTCCAGGTATAGTCTGATGACAGAATCTTTAAGTTCAAATAAGCATCTTAAGAGTGAGAGATCAAGGCCAAAAAGTATCCAGAACTATGGCCACAACTATCTCTACCTGTAAACTATGATGTTGGGGGAGAGTGTCCTTCCTCTTACCTAAAAGCTAATGAATCAGGATAGGTGATCCAGGTCCTAGAGCTTCACCATAACAGTTCAATTTTCTATTTAGAACCAGCCCAAGTCTCTCCAGCCTGGCTTAACCATTGTGCCATCAGCCCCAGGTGACTAAGAACCCTCTCTTAGGATTCTAGTGAACCCTAGGCATCTTTGAGATATTTGGGAGTGTCCAGGGCAGGCTAACAACAGTGATTAACTCTGCTTCTGTCTCGGTATAAGAGAAAGAAATAATCCTGTGGTTTTTTTCTTCCTTCACGCAAGAGATCACTGTAGTTGGTACCAAATGAGAGTTTCTCCAGTTTCCTGGCAGTTGGATGAAAGACAAAGAGGAGGTCTGGTGACTCAAACAGATAAACTAATTGCTTCCATTTCATATGGTCATTCAATAAATGGATAATCATTCCATTGCACTCCAGCCTGGGTGACAGAGCAAGAATTTGTCTAAAAATATAAATAAACAAGAGTTTTGTCTGGTGAATTCTGCTGCCTTTCTAGAGCTGGTGCTCACAGTTTTCAGAAACCCAAAAGCAAGTAAATGAGAAAAATAAATATATATTTTAGATTTTAAATTTTTAAATTTTGTTTTAAAACCATTGCTTATAGAAACGTTCCATTTAGTAACTTGTTTTCTATTCCTACAGATCCAGTAGTTGTTCCACAAGTAACAAAAAGTAAATATAAACACAATAAAAATATATCTAAACCACATTAAACTTTTTCTATATTCCTCTCATCTGTCTAGATTTAACTTTTATTCTATACATTTAAAAAAAATCAATGACAGAGAAACAGAGGAAGAAATAGAAATGGCAGACATTTTACCTAAATCCTGGGAATTACTGAACTGTTAGTATCTATTTCCAGGGTATTATGAGAATGAAGTCACATCATGTGTTATTCCCAGCACAGTGCTTTGTAACATAACTTGAGCAGATAGTACCTGCTTAATAAACATTTCATTATTACATGTGTACATGTTGTTTTTCAAATGCGGACTTATTCAGAAATTGCTGCTTTCTCTTTCCTCTGAAAACTTTAAAGAGTCAGCAAAGAATATCAAACTTGAGGATGGAAACTGGTTGTCTTCATTTGTATCAGAATTATTTGGTTGTGACAGGAGTGCTGAGTGTATGGAATCTGTGCTGTGCTTGCTTTCTCTAACTGCTGCTAATAATGAACCCAGGGGGAGCAGCATCAGCACTGGCAGGGAACTTGTTTGAAACACACATTCATGGTGTTTTTCCAAACCTGCAGATTCACATTACAGAGTGGGACCAACATTACCAAGTAATTTTTAAGCTCATTAAAGCGGGAGAGGCAGTGCTTATCAGCCCACTCTTGTCATTCAGATTACATGATCAATTTGCAGAAATCTTACTTGTGCCCTTTACACTGGTTTTGTTTATTCTCCTGGATGGAAGCATTCGTGACTCTAAGGTGAGGCCAGAATCAAGTATGAGGGCTTCAAGATACATTCCTGACAGTTACGTGTCACCTTTGCAGTAAAAGGTGGTCACAGAGCCTATTCTATTTGACTTGGTAGGGACAGGGCAATGTGGCCTATTTCCATTACTGTAGCAGAAATTGCTGGTGTGTGTGGCAGGGGAGAGCAGCTGTGGACAGAAAAAGAGGAACGTGTATTTTTATTTCCATTCAGCTAATTGTTCCTGAATCTCTTCTGTTTTTTTTTTTTGAGACGGAGTTTTGCTCTTGTTACCCAGGCTGGAGTGCAATGGCACGATCTCGGCTCACCGCAACCTCCGCCTCCTGGGTTCAAGCAATTCTCCTGCCTCAGCTTCCTGAGTAGCTGGGATTACAGGCACGTGCCACCATGTCCAGCTAATGTTTTGTATTTTTAGTAGAGACGGGGTTTCACCATGTTCACCAGGATGGTCTCGATCTCTCGACCTCGTGATCCACCCGCCTCGGCCTCCCAAAGTGCTGGGATTACAGGCTTGAGCCACCGCGCCCGGCCCTACTATAATTATTTTTATCTTTATTATTAAGTGTCTTTATGCAGCTAATATAGATAAATCATCACATTTAATCTGGCAGCTGCCAGTTTTTCTTAGGTTTTTTTTTTTAGACAGAGTCTTGCTCTGTCCCAGGCTGGAGTGCAGTGGCATGATCTCGGCTCACTGCAGCCTCTGCCTTGCAGGTTCAAGCAATTCTTCTGCCTCAGCTTCCTGAGTATCTGGGACTACAGGCTTGTGCCACCACACCCAGCTAATTTTTGTATTTTTAGTAGAGATGTGGTTTCATATTAGGATGGTTTTGATCTCTTGACTTCATTGTCCAACTTCCTCAGCCTCCCAAAGTGCTGGGATTACAGGCATGAGCCACTGCACACGGCCAGAAAATGAAGGCTCTTATCTTTGTTTACAGGCAGAAAAAATTGAGAAAAACATTGTCTTTCACTTACTGAATGTTTGACAAGATAGTCTTCTTGGGTCAAAAACATTGGCATTACTAGTGATCTTGTCAGAATTTTAAAAACTCAGACTTTATTCCAGATCTTCTGGACAAAGAAAAAAAAATTCTCATGACAGGATCTCCAGTTTATTGTATACATTTAAATTTGAGAGTTACCTTATAACTCAACATGGTTTTTTTTCTTTTGTCTGAAAAATATACACAACTCATTATGATGTAAATATAGCACTAAAAATGTATACATTTATGTTTATGTCCTTAATTATATATTTTATCATCCAGAAGAGTATCACATATGCACTGGTGATGTGGACCTTATGCCATCCTCTTCCCTCAGAGTAAGATAACACATTAGAGCCGGCCGCGGTGGCTCAAGCCTGTAATCCCAGCACTTTGGGGGGCCGAGGCGGGTGGATCATGAGGTTGAGAGATCGTGACCATCCTGGTCAACATGGTGAAACCCCGTCTCTAACTAAAAATACAAAAAAAACTAGCTGGGCGTGGTGGCGCATGCCTGTAATCCCAGCTACTCAGGAGGCTGAGACAGGAGAATTGCCTGAGCCCAGGAGGCGGAGGTTGCGGTGAGCCGAGATCGCACCATTGCACTCCAGCCTGGGTAAAGAGAGCGAAACTCCGTCTCAAAAAAAAAAAAAAAAAAAAAAAAAAAGATAACACGTTAGAGAATATTTCTGTGTTGAAAATGATTGGATAATTTCAGGTATTTTTCTAAGTCAGAACCAATTATCTTTATTCTCTCATTTCACCTTAATTCAAATAAAAAATTCTTCCCATGGCCACTTGGTAATATGTGTGTCTGTGTGTTTCTCAGGAGACATTGACATTTAGGGATGTGGCCATAGAATTCTCTCTGGAGGAGTGGCAATGCCTGAACCCTGCTCAGCAGAATTTATATAGAAATGTGATGTTAGAGAACTACAGAAACCTGGTCTTCTTGGGTGAGTATAACTTTAATACACAATTCTTAATATACCTTAAAAGTTTATATCTCTTTCTGTAGAATTTTTTATTTTTGTAATTTATGCTTTGTATAAATGAGTTTCTGATCCCTGTTTTAAAAAAACCTTGATGATTTATTTGTTCACTTAGAAAAAAATTTCTTCAGCATGTTTTATCTTGACCTGAATGTTCCACATTCCTGAGCTGATCTGTATCCTTTACTCTAGATTAATTATAATTCCTGAAATTTAGTGGCATAAAATATCATTGCCCGTATTTTAAAAATCTATTTCCCACCATCAGTTTTTGATTCATGAGTACCAGGAAGTAAAATTAAGGACCTACAAATTTAAAATTTTTCTAAATATTTAGAGATGTCTCTCATTAATTAGTATTTTGGAATTAATTTCCTAGAATATTCTATTACATCCTTTTTACTGTACACGGTACTAGGTTGGTAATTAGAAAATGTAAGAAAGATTCATGTTATTTATTTTTAATAAAGCAGATATTGCTGTCTCCAAGCAAAACCCGATCAGCGGTCTGGAGCAAAAAAAAGAGCCCTGTAGTATGAAGAGTCATGAGATGGTGGCCAGACCCTCAGGTAGGTGAGAGTGAATACACAGACAACACAGATGAGACGTCCAAAGGTAAAATAAAAATAAAAATAAGTCAGTTTTTACAATGTGATTTGGGAAGCTGTGTTGAAAACCAAATTGTTTTTGAGAAGCTTGAATATTTTGTTAAATTTTTCTCTCACATGGGGGCATCTTTTGTCTTATGCTTTTAAAGTCTCTAAAAATTCTACTTTTCCTTGGGTTATCTTCCTTCATCTACAGTGAGAGCAAAAGTCCTCTTCATGGCATATAAAGACTGTACAATCTGTCTGCTTTTTTATTGTTTTGGGGGGCACGCAAATATTTGCATAATTTTGAAAAACAAACTAGTACTTCTCTTTTTTCTTCATGTCTGAAATGTGTGAGATTAGTGTTTTCTGTTCCATTAGAGGTTTATTTTTTCTGCATATTCCATTGTTTGTATTATTATAGTCTTAAAATATAACTTGAAATTGAAAATTATGCTGAGCATGGTGGCTTATGCCTGTTATCTGAGGTCTTTGGGAGGCCGAGGAGGGCAGATCATGAGTCAGGAGATCGAGACCATTCTGACTAACAAGGTGAAACACCATCTCTACTAAAAATACAGAAATTATGCGGGCATGGTTATGTGCCTGTAGTCCGAGCTAATCAGGAGGCTGAAGCAGGAGAATCACTTGAACCTGGAGGGCAGAGGTTGCAGTGAGCTGAGATTGTGCCATTGTACTCTAGCCTGGGCAACAAGAGCATAACTCTGCCCCCCAAAAATAAAAATATTTAAAAAATTTTTTTTCTTAAAGGTAAATTATGATGTCCCACTGCTTTGTTCTTTTTTTCTCAAGAATGCTTAGGCTATTTAAATTTATTGTAGCTTATAAATTTTAGAATTGTGTTTTCTATTACTAGGAAAAAAATGCCAGTGGAATTTTGATAGAAAGATTATTGAATGTATAGATTACTTTAGATACCATGGCACTTTAACAATATTTATTCTTTTTTTGTTGTTTGTCTTTGTTTGAGATGAAGTTTCACTCCTGTTTCCCAGGCTGCAGTGCAGTGGCACAATATGGGTCATTGCAACCTCTCCCTCCCAGGTTCAAGCCATTCTTCTGCCTCAGCCTCCTGAGTAGTTGTGATTACCGGCATGTACCACCACTCCCAGCTAATTTTGTGTTTTTGCTTTAGATGGGATTTCTCCATATTGGTCAGGCTGGTCTCAAACTCATGACCTCAGGTGATATGCCAGCCTTGGCCTCCCAAAGTGCTGAGACTGCAGGAGTGATCCACTGTGCCCAGCAATATTTATTCTTTCAATCCACAGACATAATTTTGTTTTCTTTGAGACATATTCTCGCTCTGTCACTTAGGCTGCAGTGCAGTGGTACAATTTTGACTCACTGTAACCTCCACTTCCTGAGTTAAAGTGAGTCTCCTTCCTCAGCCTCCTGAGTGGTGGGGACCACAGACATGTTCTACTATGCCTGGCTAATTTTTGTATTTTTAGTAGACGCAGGTCTTGATCTCCTGACTTTGTGATTCACCTGCTTTAGCCTCCTGAAGTGCTGGGATTACAGGTGTGAGCCACTGCACTCAGCTGACATAAAATATTTTTATTTTATTTTTAATTGTTTTTCAAAGTAATTATTTACCTTTTGTTTTTTTGAGAGGAGTCTCCCTCTATTATCCAGGCTGGAGTGCAGTGGCATGATCTTGGCTCACTGCAACCTCCACCTCCCAGATTCAAGCAATTCTGCCTCAGTCTCCTGAGTAGCTAGGATTACAGGCACATGCCACCACACCTGGCTTATTTTTGTATTTTTAGTGGAGATGGGATTTTACTATGTTAATCAGTCTGGTCTCAAACTCTGGACCTCGTGATCTACCCACCTTGGCTTCCCAAAGTGGCTGGGATTACAGGTGTGAGCCACAGCACCCAGCTGACACAAAATTTTTTTTTTTTTTTTTTGAGATGGAGTTTCACTCTTGTTACCCAGGCTGGAGTGCAATGGCACGATCTCGGCTCACCTCAACCTCTGCCTCCTGAGTTCAGGCAATTCTCCTGCCTCAGCCTCCTGAGTAGCTGGGATTACAGGCACGTGCCACCATGCCCAGCTAATTTTTTGTATTTTTAGTAGAGACGGGGTTTCACCATTTTGACCAGGATGGTCTCGATCTCTCGACCTTGTGATCCACCCGTCTCGGCCTCCCAAAGTGCTGGGATTACAGGCTTGAGCCACCGCGCCCGGCTTATTATTGTTTTTTTTTTGTTTTTTTTTTGTTTTTTTTTTTTGAGATGGAGTTTCGCTTTTGTTACCCAGGCTGGAGTGCAATGGCGCGATCTCGGCTCACCGCAACCTCCGCCTCCCGGGTTCAGGCAATTCTCGCGCCTCAGCCTCCTGAGTAGCTGGGATTACAGGCACGTGCCACCATGCCCAGCTAATTTTTGTATTTTTTAGTAGAGACGGGGTTTCACCATGTTGACCAGGATGGTCTCGATCTCTCCACCTCGTGATCCACCCGCCTCAGCCTCCCAAAGTGCTGGGATTACAGGCTTGAGCCACCGCGCCCGGCTTATTATTGTTATTATTATTTTTTGAGACGGAGTTTCGCTCTTGTTACCCAGGCTGGAGTGCAATTGCGCGATCTCGGCTCACCGCAACCTCCGCCTCCTGGGTTCAGGCAATTCTGCCTCAGCCTCCTGAGTAGCTGGGATTACAGGCACATGCCACCATGCCCAACTAATTTTTTTTTTTTGTATTTTTAGTAGAGACAGGGTTTCACCACGTTGACCAGGATGGTCTCAATCTCTTGACCTCGTGATCCACCCGCCTCGGCCTCCCAAAGTGCTGGGATTACAGGCTTGAGCCACCGCGCCCGGCCAGAAATTTACTATTTTAATGCAATTACAAAATTATTTTCTTTCTCTATTGTATCAGATTATTTTATGTGTATGGAACTATAACTTGTATGCTAATTTTATATTTTCTTAAGTTACTATTAGACAAATTTTAATGTACTGTTTATGGTTTTTTTTATATGTAAGATCATACGATCCACAAACAGCAACTTTTTACTTATTTCTCTTCAATTTCAATGGCTTTTTAAAAATGTTTTTGACTAATTCTTGTGCCACACACTGCTAGTGCTACATTAAAATAGAAGCATTGACAGTGGGCACAATATGGTTTTATACTGGTGTCTGTGAATTTGCAGGAGCAACATCTCTTTAAGCTTTTATAAACTCATTTCAAGAAGCAAAGGTCATTTTCTGTTGTGTCCCTAGAGTGATGGGATGCCCTCAGAGTTTGTAGTGGAGGGTTTGTAGCTTGGTCACAGGCTGCTGTGTCTGCACTAGGGTCCACCTTTAGGTGGCTTCTTACAAAGGGTTTGGGTAATTGTAATTTCTATTTTATTTTTGGAAATATTGAATATCCTTCAGGACTTTGATCTGTAGGACAGGTTTCTGCAGTTGGGTCCATATATAATGGTCCTTATATTAGGATGTGAATGGGTATGGCTTTCACTGAGTGATTACCAGAGAGGATTGTCTCAGGTTACTGTGTGGATTTCTATTTAGGCAAAAGTGGTCATGAACTGTGGCTCAGAGATCTGGAACTGAGTTATTGAACTGCTTGAGGGGCCACAGTAAAAATCAAGGTTTGCAGGCTGGTTTGCATGGCTGTAAATGGGTATCTTCCTCCACATTTCTGGAAGGACAGGACCTCTTCCAGACTGTAACTGGGAGTAGGCTGGGATAGTGACAGGGTTATCTACAGAATTCTCAGTGGGACCAAGTTGGTTGGGCCATTTCTTGGTCTGTAGCCAAGGCCAGGGGTCCTGTAGTTTCCCATCTGAATGAGATCCTGTCCTCTGAAAAGAACACTCCTCAATCTAGGGCTTTAGCAGAGTTTTACAACTCCCTCTCTAAATCTCAAAGGTCTCTTAAAGCTACTTACTTTGGAGACTGGGTCTTGTGTATTACCCAGGCTGGTCTTGAAATCCTGGCCTGCAGAAATTCTTCAACCTGAGTGTACTACATAGTTATCATTACAGATTTGAGCCGTGATGCCTGGCTTTCATGAAGGCGTCTTTGTCAGGGATGCCTAAAAAAACTTTTTGCTGTGGAGAGAATAATTAATTCTTTTAATTTCTTTTAACACTTTATGTTATGGGAGACTAGTTTTCCTGAAAGGCTGCTAGAAGCAAGAAATAAAGATGGGTGTGCCAGTAATTTACTTCTTTATTAAAAAAGAAACCAACTTTGAAAGGCACTATGTTATATTGGGGAGCAGGAAGAAACGTCTTGGGTAAATGGAACAGACTTTTCTTTTTCTTCTGTATCTTTGCATCGTACTCATCTGGGGAACTTTACACATTTATTTATAAGTGTTCCTCCAATATATTTTGGTCACTATGTTTTTATTACATTTATTTGTCTATGAGGGACTTAGGGCCTATGGTATTTTATTATGGCATCTTGCTTATGTAGTTTGTATAATATAGGTTAGATTTGTAAGGTATGTCTCTCTAAGTATAGTAAGTTTAATAATTTGTTGTTTTTATTTCTTTCAGCTATATGTTCTTTTCCCAAAGACCTTTGGCCGGAGCAAGACATAAAAGATTCTTTTCAACAAGTGATACTGAGAAGATATGGAAAATGTGGACCTGAGAATTTACAGTTAAGAAAAGGCTGTGAAAGTGTGGTGGATGAGTGTAAGGTGCAAAAAGTTTATAATGAACTCAACCAGTGTTTGACAACTACCCAGAGCAAAATATTTCAATGTGATCAATATGTGAAAATCTTTCATAAATTTTTAAATTCAAATAGACATAAGATAAGACATACTGGAAAGAAACCTTTCAAATGTAAAAAATGTGACAAATCATTTTGCATGCTTTTACACCTAAGTCAACATAAAAGAATTCACATTAGAGAGAATTCTTACCAATGTGAAGAATGTGGCAAAGCTTTTAAGTGGTTCTCAACCCTTACTAGACACAAGAGAATTCATACTGGAGAGAAACCCTTCAAATGCGAAGAATGTGGCAAAGCTTTTAAGCAGTCCTCAACACTTACTACACATAAGATAATTCATACTGGAGAAAAACCCTTCAAATGTGAAGAATGTGGCAAAGCCTTCAACCGGTCCTCACACCTTACTACACATAAGATAATTCATACTGGAGAAAAACCCTACAAATGTGAAGAATGTGGCAAAGCTTTTAACCAGTCTTCAACCCTTACTACACATAAATTCATTCATGCTGGAGAGAAACCCTACAAATGTGAAGAATGTGACAAAGCCTTTAACCGATTCTCATACCTTACTAAACATAAGATAATTCATACTGGAGAGAAATCTTATAAATGTGAAGAATGTGGCAAAGGCTTTAACTGGTCCTCGACCCTTACTAAACATAAAAGAATTCATACTGGAGAGAAACCCTATAAATGCAATGAATGTGGCAAAGCTTTTAATGAGTCTTCAAACCTTACCACACATAAGATGATTCATACTGGAGAGAAACCCTACAAATGTGAAGAATGTGGCAAAGCCTTTAACCGGTCCCCACAACTTACTGCACATAAAGTAATTCATACTGGAGAGAAACCCTACAAATGTGAAGAATGTGGCAAAGCTTTTAGCCAATCCTCAATTCTTACTACACATAGGAGAATTCACACTGGAGAGAAACCCTACAAATGTGAAGAATGTGGCAAAGCTTTTAACCGGTCCTCAAACCTTACTAAACATAAGATAATTCATACTGGAGAGAAATCTTACAAATGTGAAGAATGTGGTAAAGCCTTTAACCAATCCTCAACTCTTACTAAACACAGGAAAATTCATATTGTAAAAAAACCTTACAACTATGAAGAATGTGGCAATACTTTTAACCAGTCCTTGAACCTTATTAAACAAAATAATTCATACTGGAGAGGAACTCTACAAATGTAAAGAATGTAGCAAAGCCTTTAACCAGTCCTCAATTCTTACTAAGTATTAAAAAATTTATACTGTACAGAAATCCGGTGAGTGTGAAAAACATGGCAAAGCCTTTAATAAGCCCTCAATTCTTAACAGACATAAGATAATTTATACTGGAAAGAAACTCTACAAACCAGAAATATGAGACAATGCTTTTGACAACACCTCAAACTTTTCTAACCATAAAAGAGATTATCCTGGTGAGAAATCCTAGAACTCTGAAGAATGAGACAAGGCCTTTAAATGGTTGTCAAACTTGATTTAGGTAAGCTAATTTATAGCAGAAAAAATGCCTACACGTGTGAACAGTGTGGCCAAACTTGTAACCAATGCTCATTCCTTATTGTACAGGAAAGCATTTATACTTGAGATAAATTTTACAAATATAAAGACTGAAATACCCATTTTTATCTTACTCAAATGTTACTCACATCTCATACCACATGCTCACATCTTAACACCAGAGAACTCACACTTATACTAAAAGCATTATAAGTGCAATTTCTATCAAAAGATTTTTCCAAAAATACAAGCTTTTGTAGTGAAGAGTATTTATTTGAAGATGAACATTACAAATATAAAAAGGGTTGTAGTGCTTTACTTGCATCACATTTTATTTTAGACATTTTGTTCTAGAGGAAAACTCTGAAGTAGTTGCTCAAACTTTGTTCTGCATCAGGGGATTTATATTGAAGAAAAATTGTGCAGATGTAATAGATTTGGAAAAACTTTCAAAAACTACAGCTTAGAAAATAACAGAGTTTATAGTAGGAGATATTTTTGTGGATGTTTAAATCTATGCAAATATCAGAGGATTTATGGTAGAAATACACAAGGCACTGACACTTCAGATATACTAAATCAGAGTGCTAAGTACAGAAAATCTAAAACTAAAGTTGGTAGAAAAATTATTTGTATATAACTTTAAGAGGATCATAAGGTTTTTTGCAGAATTATTATTGCATATAAACTATATTTCTTGAAAAGTATTACAGATTTTGTGAGAAGTGAATAATAATGTCTTTCAACCTTAAAATTACTTTCTGCTGTTTCTTCATTTCTATTGGATTCACACATGAAAGCATGGGATCAATTGTTGCTGCATCAAAGAAGGGAAAGATTCTTTTGTTTTGGTTTGGTTTTTGAGATAGATTTTTGCTCTTGTTGCCTAAGCAGGAGAACCTCCACATCCCTGGTTGAAGCGATTCTCCTTTCTCAGCCTCCCAAATACCTGGGATTACAGGCTGCTGTCACCATGCCCAAATAATTTTTGTATTTTTAGCAGAGATGTGGTTTTACCATGTTGGTGGTCTTGAGCTCCTAACCTTGTAATCCACCCACTGGGCCTCTCAAAGTGCTGAAATTACAGGCATGAGCCACTGCACCTGGCAAAGACATTATTTTTCATCAGGTGGGCATTATTTATGATCTTTTCTATAGAAAAGTAAGACATTAAAATGCATAATGAAAATCTCAGTGGAGAGCCTCTTAGAGGTTAACTTATAATATTGAGTGATTAATGATGTAGGTGTTCAGAGTAATATTCTGCATTATCATGCAAAGACAACATGTTTAATTTTATTTAAAATTAGTAGTATATTATACTAGTTGTACTTTTATATAATAAAATGCAGTACATTTTTTAAAATTTTAGATTATGTGTGAAGTTAACAGTTTAATTCAACATTTTTACATGTTAAATATTATTCTGCATTCAATGAAGCATTATGCCACAAATTTTAACCTCTTCCACCTTACTCAAGGGTATAGGTAAAACATGATACAGGAGGCTGAGGCAGGAGAATTGCCTGAACCCAGGAGACGGAGGTTGCGGTGAGCCAAGATCGCGCCATTGCACTCCAGCCTGGGTAACAAGAGCGAAACTCCGTTTAAAAAAAAAAAAAGAAATATTGTTTCTGTAGATTAAATTTTTTTTTTTTTTTTTGAGACAGAGTTTCGCTCTTGTTACCCAGGCTGGAGTGCAATGGCGTGATCTCGGCTCACTGCAACCTCCACCTACTGGGCTCAGGCAATTCTCCTGCCTCAGCCTCCTAAGTAGCTGGGATTACAGGCACGCACCACCATGCCCAGCTAACTTTTTGTATTTTTAGTAGAGACGGGGTTTCACCTTGTTGACCAGGATGGTCTCAATCTCTCGACCTCGTGATCCACCCGCCTCGGCCTCCCAAAGTGCTGGGATTACAGGCTTGAGCCACCACGCCCGGCCAAATTTTTATTCTGTTTTTAGTCATTTAAATTTATTTTATATTTATGCAATATATGGCATATTTTAATACAGGAATACAATATATAATAATAACATCAGTGTTAGGTCAGGCATCCTTCACCTCTAGCATTTATTCTTTGTTTTACAAACAATCCAATTCTACACTTAAAAATTTTTTTTACATGTACAATTGTTATTTACTACAGTTTTTGTTGTTGTTGTTGTTTGTTTTGTTTTGTTTGAGACGGAGTCTTGCTCTGTCACCCAGACTGTAGTGCAATGGCACAATCCTGGCTTACAGCATCCTCTGCCACCCAGGTCAAGCTATTCCTCTGCCTCAGCCTCCTGAGTAGCTGGGACTAAAGGCACGTGCCACCACACCTGGCTAATTGTGGGGGTTTTTTTTTATATTTTAGTAGAGATGGGGTTTCACCATGTTGGCCAGGATGGTCTTGATCTCCTGACCTCGTGATCCACCTGCCTCAGCCTCCCAAAGTGCTGGGATTACAGGCTTGAGCCACCATGCCCAGCCCTACAGGGTTATTTTTATGGTCATAATAACAATTATAGACAAGTGTAAATATGATTTATTTTTAAATTCTTAATATTTTTTTCAAATTTCTTATATATTTTTCTTTGAACATGTGGCCTGTCTGCCTGCAAACACATACAGACTTTTAGTTTTGATTTACATGGAGTTAAATATATATTAGTCTAAAGACAAACCTTAGGTGTAAGAAAATTATGGAGTGTGAGTATCAGTTTGAAAAGAGCAATATGGGAACAAAAATCATTTTGAGGTGACTACTATAAAACTAAAAACCTAAAAAAATGCTGAAAGTACACACATACTTTGTGCTTTGTATTGAATTTATTACTGTAAAATCCATGACTTCCAGTTCTGAATCTTCCCATGTAAATTCTCTGTATTTACTTGCCTGGTACTCATGCTAGAACTGTACTTTGTGTCTTACATTTTTTTTTTGTTTTATAATTTATGAAGTATTTATTATGTGAGCTGGTCTGTGCTTATAAGACTTTTTAGAAAATTTAGTACACTCAAATGATTTTTAGATGTTAATTCCAAAATTAGTGTATTGTGACACTTTATTGAGTTGGAGCACTCCATTTTGTATTTTGTGTGTGTGTGTGTGAGACGGAGTTTCACTCTTGTTACCCAGGCTGGAGTGCAATGGCGCGATCTTGGCTCACTGCAACCTCTGCCTCCTGGGTTCAGGCAATTCTCCTGCCTCAGCCTCCTGAGTAGCTGGGATTACAGGCATGCGCCACGATGCCCAGCTAATTTTTTGTATTTTTAGTAGAGACGGGGTTTCACCATGTTGACCAGGATGGTCTCGATCTCTTGACCTCGTGATCCACCCGCCTCGGCCTCCCAAAGTGCTGGGATTACAGGCTTGAGCCACCGTGCCCGGCCTGTTTTGTTTTGTTTTTCCTGAGACGGAGTCTGTCTCTGTTGCCCAGGCTGGAGTACAGTAATGCCGCTGGCTCACTGCAACCTCCACCTCTTGGGTTCAAATGATTCTCCAGCCTCAGCCTCCCAAGTCACTGGGATTACAGGCATGCGCCACCATGCCCAGGTAATTTTTGTATTTTTAGTAGAGATGGGGTTTCACCATGTTGACCAGGATGGTCTCGATCTCTTGACCTCGTGATCCACCCGCCTCTGCCTCCCAAAGTGCTAGGATTACAGGCTTGAGTCACTGTGCCTGGCAAGTCATGAGGATGCTTTAATGTGTAAAGGTAGCAAACATACATTACAGTTTTTGCTGTATAATAGATGCTCCATAATAATATTTCTGCTGGAGTTAGTTTGTAACTTCAACTCAGAGATGAAAAATATCAATGGTGAAGAAGTAAGATTGATTCTTAATTTAGAGAGGGTATCTTTTTCCAGACTGTAAAACTGATTCTTTCTGAATTTAAAGAGCAATTCTGGCTGAGGCAGAGGAATCATCTGAGGTCAGGAGTTTGAGAGCAGCCTGGTGAAACCTGGTCTCTACTAAAACTACAAAAATTAGCCAGGCATGGTGGTGCGTGCCTATAGTCCCAGCTACTCCGGAGGCTGAGGCAGGATAATTGCTTGAACCCAGGAGGCAGAGGTTGCAGTGAGCCAAGATTGTGCCATTGCACTCCAGCCTGGGAAACAGAGCAAGACTCCTTCTCTTTCTGTTTTTGTTTTCTTTCTTTGAGACTCCTTCTCCAAAAAAAAAAAAAAAAAAAAGATTCTGATTTTTTTTTCTACTTCTCTTCACGTGTTTGTTTTATGTATATTCCAACCATGTATGTATCACAGCCCTTCTTTTTCTCAGTTATAGCTATAGTTTTCTCATTGTTGTCTTCATGCCTTTTCCTTTCACATGGTATTTTGTAGATTTTGATGAGAAAGTTGGCATTTTTATTGCACTCAAAATTGGTTTTAACTGGAGATTTTGCTTATCAGTATAACTTTCAGATCAGTTAATTAAGATAAAAGGTGGCCAGGTGTGGTGGCTCATGCCCGTAATCAAAGTGTGGCAAATACACAACTTGCTAGAAAACATAGAAATTACATTTTAAAGGGAGTTTAATGGTAAGAAAACAATTTTAAATTTATTTTTCTGTGGTATACTGACTGTACAATTTACATTTCCATGCAGAATGTTCTAAGCGTGACTGTTAAAGGTTGCAAAATAATGATCTCTGTGAATTTAAAATTTTGAAAAATATGTATTTCTATATTGATTTTACAATTTGGAGAAATTTCTCATTCTTTTTATGTATTTTTTTAGTGGGAGAAATTTACAATTTTCATTTTTACTCATCAAACTGTAGCCAACTCCTCGCTCATTCTCTGAAAACCATTTGGAGATCCTGATATGTTTTGAGTTAAAACATCTGTTATTAGGCATGCAAACTAGATGACTGTGTTCAGCAATACCTGCCCCTTTAGTATCTTTCATACCATTACCATGCTTGGGATACCAGA